ATTCCACCCTTAAAGCCTACGCTCGTTCCGAAACGAAACCTAGGCCTTGTTGAGACCGCAAATCGAGCCATCCGGCCACGAAGAAAATCCGGTGAAGAAACAAGCGGGATTAGGTAAGTACAAGATGAAGGTTGTATTAATCAGCAAGTAGATTACTTCTCTTCAATTTGAAATTAATTTCTGATGTAATATGTCATTCTATGTTATCATAGAATTATCTTTAAAACTTGTTAATTTATATTCTATATATTTCAAAAAATCGTTACCGTAAATCGGAATTAAAAGATGTGAATTTTTGGAAAGGGTTTGAAGAGTAAATACTTTTAAAGGGATTATATTGAAATTACAAAATATATAAGTGTTGGTAAGTTAATAAATTTTTATACGTGTAAAACAATTTACAGTTTTGCTACATTGATAGAATATTACGGTGTGATTTATATAGAAGCAAAATAATCATAGTTGAAACTTTCAATGTTTAATGTCGATTTTATAATTTTTATCTTTCTTTTGGCATGCGATAATCAATCTATTCATTTTTACTAAATAATTAATAGTTTTAGCTAATAGTTTTATTTAATTTTTATTATAATTAATATATAATTTATGGTATTATATTTTATAATTCATTTGTTTTGTATATCTGTTATTTGGTGTAATAAAAATCTTTTTTTTTAATATAAGGATATATCGTTTATTCAAAAAATAACGGTTGAAAAAAATCGTTTATTTATAGATTTATAAAAGTTTCTTCAAATTCCAGAAAGCGAAAACTAAAATCTGCTGTTAAAATTATCGAAAAGAATAGATTTTTACTAAATATAATTTAAGTTAAAAACTATTTAACTCGTAAATATTTAAGAGAAATATATACGAGAAAAATAGAGCGCAAAATAAAATGCTATTAGTTAACAATATCTTGAATTAATTTTTCAAAAATTATTGAATCAATATTTTTTTTGTGACAGTTGCCTATCTCTGTTTCTAAATTTTCTTTTAATAGATTATTTCCCCCAAAATAGATTACACATGTGAGTTTCTCCACTCCAAAATAAAAAGAGAACTTCGACGCATTGATTTGATAAAGCGGATGATGACAGCATTCAACACTTTAATTTTAATGTAATATATATTTTCTTCGAATACATTCATTAATCATGCACTGTTCTCATAATCACTCTATCTCTCTTCTGTATTTTCTTGTACTGCATGTTTTATTATTGTATAATCGGTGGATGTCTTTCAAATTTTCTCCAGCTTCTTATATCCTAGGACCGCTATTGACTCAGAGAGCAAAGTGATGCGATTGTTCAAGAAAATCATGAAGACTGTTTGGTTACTTAAAATACAAAGTGCGATCGATAGTTCGATAAACTGTAAAAAAATTTGTTTATTTTACGGTTATATATTCTTATCTTTGAGATAATAACAACTTTAAAACTAATTAACTTTTACTAACTGTATGTGTATGTATGTGCGTGTATTTCGTTTTTTCAATCATAGTATTCGCGATTCTATTATACTTACGAGCTTATCAGTCTTTATTCGCAATAATTGTCAAATAATTAAGCACCTAAAGAATTTAGTTTTGCAATAACTAAAAACTCGCAATTTTTTAATGTAGACATGAGAATGCTCTGTGTTTTAGAAATTAATTTAAGAAAGACGACAAAAACTGCTCTCTGTCCATGTTTCTTCAGTCGCTCAGCCTATCGCGCTGCCAAGTCGATAGCAATATCGCTTAACAATTTCGCAATCTCGCTAAAACTCGCCAAAGACTCGACGCCGCAGTACGTCGTGACTGAAGCGGAACCTGTTGTTGATTGTTGTAGGGACTGTTGAGGCGAGGGACACAAGCAGAGACATGGACAATGTGCAAATGATCGGCACTAAAATCACAGCGATCAAGGAATACTTATATGTAAGGCATCCACATTGCACTTCATTCATCACATCTGTTCGTTTAGTGAGATTGGCATCTCGACAATGTTTTCATTAAATATTTTCATTAGATTAATATAAATTTAGTATAATAGTTAAATTTTTTTTAAATATAAATACTATGGTAAAACTTGCTAATTATATCCTTATTTTATATTTTGTCAGGTAAGCAATGAATTTATCGTTGTTATAAGAAAATGGTTCCCGTTTTCTGGATATTTTACTTTCAAATAATAATAAACTTAAATTTTCAATAGAATGACACATAGAAATTGATGAATTTATATATTGGTGAATGGTTATATCGATTAATATATGTAGTTGATCTAATTCGGTATCTACGAAGATAGTGTTGGTGAAAACATTGTCGACGAAATCTTCGTCAGTGATTTTAATATAATTACATTTAATGATTTTTAGGTTAATTGTGTTAGTTTCTTAATTTCCAGCAAGCGACAATTGATTGACTTATAATGTTATTTAATACGGCTATACATTTTTCTGTGAGCAAATTAAATTTTCGTTGATTAATAAAAGCTCTTCGATAAAACATTCGATTTTGATATTTGCTAAAAGGGTCAATTTGCTATAAAGGTCAATTCACTAATGCAAATGTTATATAAATACAGACAACTTAAGAAGAAAAATTCTCGTTATTTTGGATTTCAGAATTTCGCACGAACGCATTCACCCACGAGACTAATGAGTTCCGAAAACACCTATTCGCTCTCCAAGGAGCATTGCAACTTGAAGTATTCGGGTAAGTGCTTATGAGGATTTTTAGTTAATCAGTTTTTATTTGAATATTGCATGTATTCGAGAGAATTTAATACAAAGATAAATATTTTGTTTTTTTGACATAATTGATGATTATGTGCTGCATGAACGCTGCTTTGATTATTCATAATTCCGTGTAACTTATATAACGATATTAGCATCATCCCAAAGATAAATATTTTGTTTTTTTGACATAATTGATGATTATGTGCTGCATGAACGCTGCTTTGATTATTCATAATTCCGTGTAACTTATATAACGATATTATCAGCATCATCCAGTTGTGATATATAAAATTCAAGAAGAACAAATTATATTATAAGTATATTTTACATTACGTGAGCGTTGACTTAGCTTTTCGAGGGCAAAATCCAAGCGTCACAATATTGTCCTGATTTCGCGAGGCTTGTGGGTCGGAAGGGTGCATAATAATAGAGGATTTAGAATTATTCCAAAGAGGTTGGTAGACTCCGAGTGGTTGAGGACAGATTACACGCCGCAGGGATGCGGAAGGGTTTGTCATCTTCGCCGTTTGGGAAGTGTTAGCGGGCGATAACGACATGCGCGTGCCGCTCGTAGAATTTTAGATATTTTAATGGATCTTTATCTCGAATGATTTTTATTACGATTTTTGCAAACGATATATAAGCATTTACAAAAATTTCGTTAGACAACGCATCGTAACGCGAAATCTGCAGTATTACTATAAATTAAGGTCGTAATCCGGTTTATAAATCGGCGTGACTAATTGCCGCGTGTAACAATCCCCAGAAGACGCGTTGATTAAAGTCGAGATGCGAGGGTCTAGACACATCTGGTGCCGAATGACTATACGCACGATAGATATATTGAGTCCGAACTAAGCAATATACTTGGCAAAATCTGCGAGATAACTGTGTTTCATAAAAATTAGAATTAGGATACATATACGTAAACTAATATCGCTTTTGTATTTAACTGTTTATCTAAATAGAAATATTATTATACACGAGGATTATTAAAGTATTAATAGCCTATTGTTTTTAACAGAAATAATTAAAAGATGAAGCAGATAACAATTAAACGATAATTATTTTAACGTAATTAAATCTTGCGATAGCTCGAAACTTGTTTGTATCTCGAAAAGTATTATAAACCTCGGGAAGAAGGCGAAGGTCTTTGGACATTAGATTGATGGAGCTGGATTAGCTGGATCTGACTGTTGGAAACCGGGGATTTCCCTTGTCTAACCATAGGCTCAAGGCGATTCACTATAAGTTTTCGCCCTTCTTTCTTTATTCGGCTTTTATTTAGCACGATCTTTACGATCATTGAAAAGGAATGTTCTCATTGGTTGAAGAGAGAGATCTTTTTCGAAAAAAGTATTGCCGGACAGATCTACTTTTTAAAATTGTCATCAAATGCTTTCGTTTAAATATCTTTATTGTTTTATCAAAGATTTAACAAAATTATTATTTGATAAGAAATTAGCTTTATTACATCAAGGAATAACAGTAGCATGTTTATGAAACCAATTTTTAATCAATATTTCTTTCAAGGAAGTTACTTGTAATTTAAGATAATAATATTTGATGTTTTTGAACAATATATATTGTGTGAAAAAGAAACAAAGAAAATAGAAACACAATTCTATGCCGTCTTAAGAAATCTCGTTTGCAGTTTGCAGCCCTTCTTAAAAATGCTAAAATATAATTTGAAAGCGAAGTCTCATAGTAGCTTGGCTGTTTATCCATGGGATCACTTTAATGCAATGAGAGACGAGGGGTAGTCTACTCTCTATGAGATATTTTATGGTTGCTCCGCGATAGAAGGACAGTTCAATTTGCCGAGGATTTACCACGAGTACATTGAAATGTTCCACTGCAATGACTTCGTTCTGTCTTCATTCTCTCGCCTTTATAAGATTCGATGAAATACTATATGTATACATATATATTTATGTAAAGTTATCTTCTAAATTTTTGCTTACTATTCCGCTTTTAAATTATATTTGTTATTATATTTGTAGAATATTTATATATATATATATATAATTATAGGCATGATTTTTATAAGCAATGAATTGAATGCTATTACGCTAGCTAACGTTAAAGACAGTGTTATGATATCACGAAGAATTTACTGTGAACAGAAGAAGGAAGAAGAACATAAATAAGATGGTATCATCCCACCAAACAAGTGAGAGTGTGTCAATATAGGTCTATACTTTCAATTGTTTGATGAGGTGAAATCATTCTAATTGCACGTTATCTTCGAGGATGACGTCAAAGTGGTAGGTTGATCAACGAAATGACAGCCAAAAGAAATCTTATCAATGCAGTTTTAATTGATATCGCTGTAGAAGAGATTTCACTTGATCCCAACAATTAGAGAGTTATCGTAGTTATTGCATCGTGTTGCGCATGAATTATCATTATTGTTTTCTTTAAAAAAAGAAAGAAATATCAAAAAAAAGAAATAAATAAAAATTTTATATCGTAAAGACAATATCGGTACACAATTTGTTTCGGAAACATTGAAAACTTGCTGTAATATCTCTATCTAATCAAATATCATGCAATTGTATAATATTGTTTATTAGATGTTTTTATATTGATGATTGTTGCAACATTATCTAATAAATAGACGATTCATATATATGAGATTCGTGCTTGTATATTCTTATTTTGTTCACAGACATTCTGCCGCATAATGCAGAAGGTTATCCGGCCACTAGAGAGTTTTTGATGAAGGTAGTGGATATTCTACTAGACTTTGTCAAATCAACAAATGATAGGAATGCGAAAGTCCTCGATTTTCATCATCCTGCCGACATGATGCGTCTGCTCGATCTGGAAATACCTGATACCGGATTGACTCTTCAACAGCTCCTACTGGATTGTTCTATGACTTTAAAATATCAAGTGAAAACAGGTAAGTCATAATTTTCTATTTTGATATAGAGCATTTTAGATATAAATCACGTAATAGAAAAGCTTTTGTTCGAAATATCTCGAAATGTTTCGGGATTGAAACGTATAACGTTCATTACACAGAAGCAAACATATACGGATATAAATATTTACATTTTGTCGTCGATCTGGTTTTTATGATCTTTGTATCGAAATCTTACATCAAAATGACTTTTCATTTTCTGTATTTCTGTAATTTTTCGAACAAAATTATATTATATTATATTTTATGCAAATTAATTATATTTTATTAATT